AGAAACGCCCTTCACTCGTCAATCGGAAAGGTGTTCTTCTTCTCCACAACATTGCACGTCTACGTGTGGCACGTTTGACGCAACACAAGATTACGGAGTTGGGTTGGGAAGTTCTCCCCCACCTACCATATTCTCCAGATATGGCATCATCAGATTACCATCTTTTTCATTCGTTGCAACACCATCTTAATGGGGAAACGTAGGGAAATGTGGAAGGTGTTAAAGAGGATATCGACATGTTTGTTTTTTTTTACTTCAAAGACAAGTAATTTCTTTAATCAGGGTATTAACAACCCGATTGTAAGATGGAAAAGCATCATCGATAAGAAAGGAGACTATTTACATCATTATAAGTAGTGACGAAAAGAGTTTTTTTTTTATATATATGCATAAAATTGAGATCATGTAATTTCCTTCATTACATCCTTCAAAATTTGCGTTCATTACAACCAAAGAACACTGTTATTTTGTTCATTTAGTGTTACGTGAAAAGCTTCATTACCCCATGCTAGATGTCATTCATGAAACAAAACGTATGCCTTTTTTAGTATTGTACTCACGAACTATCACTGAAATCAGACGACTTTTTCGGGCTTTGTTAGTTTCTAGCTATTATTGTTTCATTTTTTCAGCTATGGATGTTTTTTTCGGAATAGTTGTCTTGTTTGCAACAGAAGTTTGGATTATCTTCTCTTATTTCAATCCTATGAAATGTTCGAATCATCATCTTCGTTTCTGATACTTCATTTCCATATAACATTTATATTTAGGAATCGGTATGCTTATATAGTGTTCAATTAATATACATAAACATATAAAATAACTGTAACAGTCGTTAATATGAGTGTGTGTTTTATAGCAAAGCAACATCAGGCTATCTGCTGTGTTCACCGAGGGGAATCGAACCCCTGCTTTTAGCGTTGTAAATCCGTAGACTTTCCGCCGTCTCACAGGGGGACTCGTTAATGTGCTGTAAAATATTTATATGTTTCTTTGATTTTTGTTTCTAAAATATCTTAATGTAGATTTTAAATTAAAATAGAAAGTCAAACGTTCTTGAAACTTGATTAAATTATAGAAAGAACTTGTAATACTAAAATCAAAGTTTTTTATTTAGAGATAAAACAAGTAATTACGTTTTTTTAAAACTTGTTTTTTTTCATTTTATTCTTCTCGATATAACAGCACCAACACTTGTGTAATTAATTAATCTAAAGTCCTCTTTAAGCCAAGAATATTGCAGAAACATCGTCAAAAATAATTGATAAAAATGTTGTTAAGCTAAAAATCAATGACATTTTCGCAAATCTTTAAAAATAAATATTTTCGTAAAATAGTCAACTAAAGATTGAGAAAATAACATATCATCAAGTTTCAGTAAGAAATAAGTTGCGTTCAATGTCTCCAGCCGATAATTATCTACAAGTTTAACAACGTTTAACGTTTAGACTTTGCGATTACTCTCAAACAACTTCCCACAAGAGGAATAAAAACAGGACTAGATGATTTAGAAATAATTCCGTTTAAGAATATTCGAGATGTAATCTTAAATCTTAAAAATCAAGACAGTAGTTCAATAGTGACACTGATTCTTCCAAATATCTTGTTGATTTTCTCAACCATTTAAAGTTACCGAAAGTGCTTTTCCCTCACACCTTCCGAGCTATCATTCAACCTTAAAACTATTCAACGAAAGTCACTAAGTGCGTTGATCGATCTCCTGTTTTAATATCCAATTTCAAACCGGAAGAATTAAAAGCCTTCCGATCTCTAGAGTGGCCCGGCATGGCCAGGTGGTTAGAGCGCTCGACTCGCAATCTGTGGGTCGCGGGTTCGAATCCCCGTCCCACCAAACATGCTCACCCTTTAAAGCCGTGGGGGTGTTATAATGTGACGGTCAATCCCACTATTCGTTGGTAAAAGAGTAGCCCAAGAGTTGGCAGTGGGTGGTGATGACTATCTGCTGCCTTCCTTCTAGTCTTACACTGCTAAATTAGGGACGGCTAGCGTAGATAGCCCTCGTGTAGCTTTGCACGATATTCAAAAACAAACAAACAAACCAATCTCTAGAAAATGAGCAAGACATTATTTTATTGAAAACATATTAAGGTAATTCTATTGTTGTCATGGGTTGCCGTAAATACTTCAATGTCAGTAACACTATTCTAAATGATTCAAGCTACTGTGTGAAATTAGAAAGTGATTTAATGTCCAAGCAAGAACGAAAATTAATATACTTTTCAGTACAGTGAAACACATCTGACAAAATTTCCAATGATTTGTTAAGTATACAAATATGAACCTAAAACTAAATGCTCTTTTACTTCCCAAAGTTTATATTTATAAACCTTATAAGTACAATCGTGAAACTTCTGCCTTGGGTATTTGACCTATATATTAATAAAACTTCTTTATTTCGTTTCAAAACTAAATTATTTCGTCCCAGGCGCTTTTATGGTTAGCTTTGTCGTAAAAAGTCTATTTGTTCACATAAGTGCCTATTGATGAAACAATTCACTCTGTTCTGGAATGTTTTCAAAATGACTCCAAATCTTTGTTAATATATTTCCATGATCAAGTATGTTTTTTAATTTTCCGTTTCTCATACAATTTTTTATTTTAAAATGTCATTATGTCCAAATCAACAGTTAATTAATGTATTCATGGTGTCAGAATTGAAGAAATTGCCATGTCAATTCACTTTACCGTTCAATTTTTTGAATCCGTTATGTAGATGGCATTTTCATAGCTTTTATTGAAATAGATTACATCCTTAGTCTTCTTCTATATGTGAATCCAATCAATTCACTTCAATATCATGCACCCCACCCCCTTCTCACAGCGAAGTGGCTCAGCGAAAAGTCTGACGGTTCACAGCGCTAAAAACAATGTTTCGATACTCGTGGTGGGCACAGCACAGATAAGCTCTTTGTGTAGCTTTGTGCTTAAAAGCAAACAAATAAAACCAACATCATATTTACAGATAAAAATGAAGATTATGGAAAATTATGTTCTGGTTATAAAAGTGAAAGAACTTCATACCACTGTTATCCGTAAAGAAACACATTTGATAATATATATTAACTGAAATTATTTCCATGATCATATACAAACAAAAGACCCCTTTTCGCACAGCTAAGCATACTTGTTCCTCTCAACTGGCTTTTCAACAGATAAAAATGTGTAAAAGCACAACTTAATTCGAAAAATAAATACACCACCACAGTTATAAACAAAATTTATTAATTCTAAATACTTAATCACACACAACCTGAAGATAAACCAACTATTTAAGAAAATCATCTTGTTGTTGTTTTATAAAATTAAAGAATACAACATTCATTTAAATGCGAAATTTTATTTCCTACTTGCAAGAAAACTAGGTCAAATTGTAGCACGCAAATTTATTGACAGTTTGTTTGATTTTGAATTTCGCGCAAAGCTACACGAGGGCTATCTGCGCTAGCCGTCCCTAATTTAGCAGTC